AGCAGAACAGGCAGATCGACGAAGTACACTGCTGAGGGAAGCAGCAGGCGGGTCAGGAGAGGTCTGCCTCACCATGTGGATCTCCTCTGGGGCAGGTGGGGATTGAACTCATGTGGATGTGGCTTAAGCTTCTTAGTGCAGTGCTTTAACCCACTGAGCCACCAGGGAGGGCCACACTTAGAACTTTTATGGAAGGATTGCAACTTTATTTGCTTTTTAACCATTGTAGCAGGTGTTAAAAGTATTTAACTGCTGGCATCTTGGTGTGTGACTCAAAGCCTTGGTGTCAAGCTTTACTAGCAGCCATTGAGGTTTTTTTTTTAACCACTAGTGATGTCCTTGATTAAAATTTACTAGTGTTTTTAGACCTTCAAGTGTACATCTCTAGTATTTTGTATGATTAGTTCAGGTTCGTATATAGCGCTTCTGCATACTGAACTATGGTAGTTGACTTTATGAATAGCATAAACTTTTTTATTTGAATATTTCTATTATGCACATTGCATATTTGACATTGTTTTAAAAAATGAAACATTTGTTCCTTCAAGGAAAGCCAGCTGGCAATGATTGTTTCTAATAGTAAAATGTGAGTTTCATTAGAAACAGAATTATAGGAAGTTATTCTTTTTTATAATTTTAAAAAAAGATTTATGCATGCAAAATTGGGGTACAGGCCAAAGGTGTGGGGGTGGTGAAAGGATCACTAGAGAAAGAGTGGGGAGCAGGATAGGCAGAAGTACACTGCTGAGGGGAGCAGGGGACAGGTCAGGAGGGGTCTCCCACGCTATGTGGGTCATCTTTGGGATGGGATAGAATTTATGTTGAAGTGGCTTTAGCTTCTTAGTGCTGTGCTTTAACATGCTGCACCACCAAGGAGGGCCCATAGAATAACTTCTTTATGTCACTGTGAGTCTTTTAACATCTTCCCAATTCTTAGTCTTTTGATGAAATTTGTAATGGTATTAGAAGATGTGATTAGTTGATCTTGCATAACAAAAGGTGTATAACTTAGTGATTGATGTTTTCCAGATGATCAGTGCATGCTGTTAGAAAATCATGCGTGGATAAAAAATTCATTTAAAAATTTTATAATAATTTATTTTTACACATTTTGGTGCATTTTTCCATCTCAGTTGCAATCCCCTTGGGTTTCACATCACCAAGTCACCCATGTGCCATCACCATAGTCCAGTGCATTTCCCGCCCCCCACTGTTTTTGATACCATTCCCCACTCCACCCCCACAAAATGTCTCTGATATATAGCTGTTCATCATTATCATTTCTCGCCTGTTCCGTTATATTCCTGCTATGAGAGAAAACATCTGGTATTTTTCTTTTTCTTTCTGGCTTATTTCACTAAGCATGATCTTTTCCAGCTCCATCCATGTTGCTGCAAAAGAGTAATATTCCATTGTGTATATATTCCATACCTTAGGTAAAAAAATTCATTTTAAAGTTCCAAAGAGACCAGTAGACTTTAATGATACAAAAAGTTTGTGGGTGTGCCTTCCACATGACATTAACCTTTAGGAAACTAGCATGCACTTAGTTTTGTTATATCAAGAATATTGAGTTACCTGAAAAGCTGTTAAAATACTACTCCTTTTCAATTGTCTGTGATTTTATGTATTTCAACAAAACAAAACAGTTTCATAGCACATATTGAATGTAGAAATAGATTTGAGCACACAGCTATCTTTTATTAAGCCAGAAGTTAAGGATATTGGTAAGAATTTTAAAAGTAGTACTACAATTACTAACATCATATCATTCACATACATTTTGGAAAACAGTGTTTTTAATTGTTTAGAAAAGGGAAGATAGAGACCATGTCTCTCTCGGTCATCAGTGTATCCAAGTGCCTGGCATGGTGTTTGACTTCTATAGTAATATTTGTTGCTTAAAATAAGTGATTAGTAAGCAGTAGTGGAAGAACCACAAGGAAACTTGTAGACATTAGGAGAAAAACTGAGTAATGGTAGTGTCTTAAAGGTGAAGGAAGAATATCTCATGAAGGAAGCAGGAATAAAATTAGTCACTGTTGTTGATTATTGTTAAGATTGTTCATGTAAAATTTGAATTTTAAAAAGTGCAGTTTACAGATCTTTTGAAATGTATATGTTGACTCCTAACAAAGTCCCTCAATATTTTCAACATTTCATATAAGCATTAGCTATGTAAAATTAACACAAGTTTACTTTACCTAGAAAAAAGTATGAGTGGTTGATTTCTTTTGGAACTAAGTCCTTTTTTTGGCAACAGTTCTGTTAATACTTATATTTTATTTAGTTGTTTCTCACATAATGAATGCATAATATAAATAAGTTTATAGCTAATTACATATTTTATGTAAAATGAAAAGAAGTGACTAATACTGGATTTATAAGTTGGATCTTTGGATCAATTTCCTCGTGGTAGTTGATTTCTCTTATTTGTGTAATACATTATAATATAGTAGGGAAGAACTGATAGGAAGAAAATTCTTTCTGATGATGTTTATGAAATAGTATAGTGTCTTGTCTTTTTTTTTTTTTAAGATTTATTTATGCTACAAGAACTGGGGTACATGCCAGGGTTATGGGAGTGAGAGGATTCACCAGAGATAGGGTGGGTAGCAGAACAGGCAGATTGACTGAAATACGCCGTTGAACGGAGAAATGTTTGAGAAAGGAGAGGTCTGCTGTGTCATGTGGGTCACCTCCTTCGCTGGGGATCGAACATCTGCAGTGACTTTGGGTAGCTTCATAGTGCTGTTTTAACCTCTTGCTCCACCAGGGAAGCTAATGAAGTAGTGTTTGTATATTCAGTTATAAGCAGTTTTAATTAAAGTCAATTTATATTTCAGAATTTTTCGAAGAATATTTTTGCAATTCTTCAGTCTGTAAAAGCCAGAGAAGAAGGGCGTGCACCTGAACAGCGACCAGCCCCAAATGCAGCACCTGTGGTAGGAAGATTTTACTGCTTACACAGTACTTGTAATGACGCTCGCTTTCAGTGTTGTACGTTTGAAGACATCTTATCTTAATGCTTTAAAATCAGTAGACTAAACCTTTTGCTGCTTTAGTATACCTGAAAGGCCCCCCACCTTAAGAGTTACATACTTAGCAGTAACACTTAACTGGAGATGTACCTGGATCAGTATCTTACAGAGATGAATTAGAAAATGTCCTCTATGTAAGGAGTTGAACAGTCTTTGGACTTACTCATTGTTGCTTTGGAGAGTCACTAGCATTTGTTACATGTATATAACCTATTTACCTTCCACTCTGGGGCTTTTTGAAATCATTGGTATCTGTGATATCTCGGGAAGTGAATTGTTTGTGCCAGTCACATGTAACTGGATCCTTAGTTTTCACCTTTTGGGGCGTGGGTTGATCGCCTTACTCTGAGGTATCCAGTTAATACCTGTCCAAAGTTGGTTTCATGTATGATGTAGTCAATATTTAAACTTAAATTGTTGTTGAACATCTAACTAGTTTAATCTAATTCAACAAAGGCAAAACTTATACCATGAAATTCTTTTTTATGAAAATTTTATAAAGTACTAATATGATCTTTGTAGGATCTAATAGTTTTATTAGAAATCACTGATCTTTAAACTTTCAGAAATAGAGGATTTTTGTATGAATTGTAAGAAAGTAGATTTGAAAACAGTATCCTTTATTGTTGTCTTGATTGTGTTAAGTATTAAATAGTTAGATACTTTAAAGCAAATATTTAAATACATAATATTTGTTAGGCAGTGTGCTAAATAACAAAGATAAGACATGCAAACATGTAAAAGATCCGCATTTCTTTCCCTCTTTAAGTTTACAGTCTAGTGGAACATAGAAATGCATACAGAAGCTTGCGGGACAAGTGTTACCATGATAAAACACAGTATGCATCTAGTTAAGAAGTAGTTGATGTTTTAAATAGCCTATGGTGGGAAACCTAGTTAAATCTAAAATAATTCATAATTGAGGGAATTTATTCTTTCAAAAAGATTTAATCATAATAACTTAAGTATATCCATTTTACTTAGGCAGTTTCTAAGAGTTGTGCCTTTTTGCTGTGGTGCATGTTTACTTGGAGACCTCGGTCCTTAACCCTAATATAGATGACAGTTTTCTAGTGGTAAATGATACCTTGCAAACATAAGTATTAAATGACTCCCACTTCTGTCTACTCTCTACCTTAATCTTATTTATAATGAGAAAGTAGTTTAGAAAACAGTATCATTTTTTTTGTAGTTTTCATTATGAGTGTTAGTAACAATTTAAAATATTAATATATAACTCATTTTTTAACAGGATCCTACATTGCGTACTAAACAGCCCATTCCAGCTGCTTACAATAGATACGATCAGGAAAGGTTTAAAGGAAAAGAAGGCAAGTTAATTACATTTTTCTCTCCCCCTTCCTGAATCTGAAAGGCAGTGTCGTCTGTGTTTAAAAGCATAGGTTCGCAACACAAGTTCCACAGGCTAACTCTGGCCCATCACTTGTTTTTGTACCTGATCACAGTCACTTATTTTTTCTGATACTTTTAAAAAAAATTTATTTATTTTTCTAAAGGTTTATTTATTTATGTATACAGAGGTGGAGTACAGGCCAGAGGTGTGGGAGGTGGGAGGATTCACTAGAGAGAGATTGGAGAGCAGAATAGACAGATCGACAAAGTACACTGCTGAGGGGAGCTGTGAGCAGGTCGGAGATATTCTTTAGTATTCTTTTAAAGATTTATTTATTTATACAATAACTAGAGTCCAGGCTAGAGGTTTGTGTGTGTGCTGGGAGTTGGTGAGAGGGTCCACTAGAGACAGGGGAAACAACAGGCAGATTGAACAAAATACATTGCTGAGAGGAGTAGTGGGCAGGTCAGAAGGTGTCTGCTATACTATGTGGGTCATCTCTCAGACTGGGAATAGAACTTGTGCTGCAGTGGCTGGCTGTAGCTTCATAATGCTGAGACTTAACCCCGTGTGCCTTCAGGGAGACAGTCTGATATCCTTTAGGATTGACAAAAGTGTTAAATTTTGACAAAGATTATGTGGCCTGCAAAGCCTTTTATAGATTTGTCAGCCCCTGCTTAATTGTATGGATTTTTGGATCCAGATTGCCCATATAAGTTCCTTTTTATTTGAATTTTGATAAGTTGCTTTAACTAATTTCTGTCTCTGTTACCTGCCATGCATTATTGTAATAACAACAGTAGTAGACTGACTTGTAATAAACTATAAATACTATTATTAAATTAGTATGTTCTGTTTCTCAAAAATTTGTTATAGAGGGGAGATTTGAGATACTGTGCTTATATATAATAAATTGAGCAGTAGAGAAGCATAGATTGGAATAATCACATGAGGACATACTTGGTGATAGCCTACATGGCATACTAGTAGGTAATATAGTAGTGAAATATTTCATTAGTTAGGTACAATTAGGGTAATGCATTGAGACTAATGTCAGTAGTCAAAAAGGTGAATAATCAAAGAGGGGAAGTTATAGCAATTAGAAGTTTAACATTTATGATTTTTTTTTCCTGTGTAATCTGAACTCTCCATTTGTTTCATTAAAGGATATATTGCTCTGACACAGTCATGTTAACTACATTTATTAAACTTACCTTCTGAATACATATCTGTAGAAAGACTTTTTTTTAAATTTTGCTTGCAGCATTCTTATGAACGGAACTATATGAAGTGGGGGTTGGCAAATTACAAGCCATAGATCAAATCTAGTGTTCCTTGGGCCAAATCAAATTTCACCCCTTTCTTTACATATGTTCTTTATCCTGCTTTTTGCACTACAGCGGCAGTATTCAGTAGTGTGACAGACTGTGTAGGCCTACAGTGTGTAAAATTGGTAATATATGACCCTTTACTGAAAGGTATATTGAAAGTTTGTTCTGGAACCCTTTTTAGTCTTATCCCTCAGATCTCATAATCTTAGATAGTTTTAGTCTTATTATAATTAAGTTTTAGGAGTAAATAATTTGGTAGGAGTAAATAATTTTGTTGTAATCATTTTAATTGTTTCCAGCCTCTTGAATACATTTGTAAAGATAGACTTTTTTTTATTACAAAGTTTATTTTTACATCATTTTGCACATTTTTTTTTTTCCATCTCGATTGTAATCCCCCCGGGTTTCCCATCACCAGATCACCCCTGTGCCACCACCCTAGTCCCGTGCATT